TCCAAATGGCAGTTGTGCTCTTTCTTGAAGGTCAATTGAAAAATCATAGGGATGATGTTCCGAGAGTGTATCCGCATTCTTTTTTTCAAATACATTTTGAAATTCTTGATATTGGCTCGGAATGCCACGTGAAGTCTTTGTATCATTAGAAATGGGTGTAGCATAAATAATATATGGTGATTCTTTCATAGCAGCATGCAAGAAAGCTTTTGCACCTATAAACACGAGTTTAATTGAACTGGACTTATGACTCTTTACTTGATCAACTACACTAGTAGTTATACTTTTAGAGAAAGTAAGAGTTCAAGAAATCCAATCTATTTGAGGGTTGTATTTTTCTAACCACGATAAATCTAAAATGACTAGATTAGAGGGAGATCTAATGATATTAAATACTACAAAGCTATTATGACCATTGATTATTACTTCTATAGGAAGGGTTTCGTGAGTAATATCTCCAGAAGATAATGGACGACCATCTATGACTTCTACATGAACAAGTTTAATTTTCTTTACTAAAGATATGTTATATCTTTTAGTAAATTCTTCATCTAAGAAACATGCTGAGGCTCTTGAATCTAACAAGGCACAGGCTTTGTAATGTTTAGGTCCTAAAATAACATTTAATGTAAAACAAGGAGATGGTTCTAAGGAGAGAATAGGACCTTTACAAGATGTTGTGTAAGGTTCCAAGCACACAGTCCCTATTGTAGCTGGATAAACTCGTTTTTTGACATATTGTCTTCTTTGATAGCCATACTCCTCATTTTGTAGTTGCGTCGTTTCTTTGGATAATATTGAGCAGTGTGTTTTGGTTCTCCACAGTATAAACATAATCCTTCTTGACGACGATAAATCTTTTCTTGTTCAATAAGAGATTTGAAATGTACTGCATCAATTTACATATCCTCTACTTTCGAATGTATGTGTTGAAGAGATGTTGGTGTTGCTATTGAATTATAGTTACGTTGAGATTCACTTCTACGGTTCTTAGATCGAAATTCAAAAAGGCAATTGTCACACTTCATAGCAAAGTCAATTGCTTGACTCAATGTTTGAGGATCAGATAAGTTGAGCATTAATTTTTTTACTTCATATTGTAATCCATAAAAAATTCACTAATAAGTGCGGCATCATTCCACTTGATATCAATTGCAAGTCATCAAAATTGTAAAGCATACAACATTAGTGATCGATTGTCTTGTTGTAAAATATGGAACTTATTAGTTGCAATACAAATTACATCATATTCTCCATATATGGATTAAAACTCTACCAGAAAAATCTCTAGATTATCCAATATTGGATCTCGTCGTTCAAAAAAAGATGAAAACCATGATAGTGCTGAACCTGAAAGAAGCGTATCAATGAATCTAACTTGCGATCCTAGAGTTGGATAGCTTTGGGGTTGAAGTTCAATCACAAGTTGCACTTGATTGATAAAACCTCGAAACTTGGATCTGGTGCCATCAAACTTCTCGGATAGGGCAATTCTTGGTTCTTGAACACTGGAAGGGCGTTCCACCATAGGAGAAGGGACATGATTTGGTGCAGATGTTGAAGCAGCTCCAATCATTTCTATATCTTTACTTCTTGCCAATCTTGTTGCTCCTTATGGTGGTAAATTGAGCTGATGCATTGCAAGCATTAACTCCCTCAATTGCTCTTATATTTGTGCTATTGCACTTTTCATTTCAGCAAGTTCTGCCATGAGAACACTTAGAAAAGAGAAAATGTCTAATATCACTCAAGACAAATAGAAGAGAGGACTTGATAACAAAGAAAATACTAAGGACAATATCAGTTTAGAAGTGGGTAATCCGCAACTTCTAATATGCTTGTGTCTTATCAAGAATAAGGGGTAATCCACTCTTAATCAAGATAAGACAAAGCTCTAATATTGTAAGTGTACTCTTGTCAATCTGTCAAGGACAAGAACTCGATGAAAAAGCAATTCAGACAAGTGAGCCTTCACTCAAAGAAAGGTAAGAAAATATAAATAAACAAGTATATATATTGAAAGAAAAATTGGAATGGCTATTGCTAAAGACTAGAAAACATGAAGACTCTTGAAACTAGACTAGAAACAAGAAAAGAGTTGATAAGAGTGAAGAAGGCTTCACTCTTGTCTCTATATATACTATCTAACTAGGGGCCACGTGGCAACGTTTTATAGGACCTTCAATATGTGTTGACTTTATAAGACACATGCCTTGACTTATAAGACAAGTTTTTCTACATGTGGGCCACATTGTTAGCTTGGTCTTCAAGCTAACAACATAACTGGCACATGGCCAACTTGTTGACCACGTTTCTAATCCAAAAAGTCAATTAAAGATACCTATAAAGTCAAAGTAGCATCTATTAAGCTTCTAGGAAGCTTCCATATCAAATACTATAAAATTATCTTTTTTTTATCTACTTTTACTTACTTCTACCTATTTATATATGTAATTACTAGCTTACATGAGTATGTCCGTGACAACATGTCAACATATGGCCTCCTTGTTAGCCAAGTTTTCAACCTATCAATCACCTATAGACATGTAAAGGCAAAGTAGCATCTATGAAGCTTCTAAGAAGCTATCCACAAGATATTATCATATTTATTTACTTTGACTTACTTCTACTTATTCTTATTATTTAGATAATTATTAGGATAAATATGTATGTCTGTGACAAATTATCATAGACATCCATATTTATTCTAATAATTACATAGATAATATGAATAAATAAAAGTAGATAAAAAGAAAATAAAATTATAAATATCTTATAAAAGAACTTCTTAGAAGCTATATAGATGTAGCTTTGGCTTTAAATATGTCTATAATTGATTGATAGGTTGAAAATTTAATTGAGAAGTTGGCCTCATATCGCGCATATTGCTGACTTGTGGTACAAGTTGGATATGTGGTACACATATTGGAAGCTTATCTTGCAAGATAGATGCATGTTCTACAAGTTGGACATATATTAGAGGTCCTATAGAATATTACTTCTAATTAGATAGTATACATAGAGGCAAGAATGAAGCCTTTTTCACTCTTATTAATTCTTTTTTTACTTTTAATCTAGTTTCAAGGGTCTCTAGTTTTCTTATCTTTTAGCAATAGCCATTTCATTTTTTTTGAATATACATTTTTTTTTTCCATCTTTCTTTAACAAAGATTCTACTTATTTATTTGCATTCACTAAATTTTTGTCCTTGTCAATAATCAACAAGCAACTAGATTGATTTGTTTACAAATAGAAGGTGTTTAAAAAATTACACTAATACTACTATTTACATATTCAACAACTCAAAATGTAATATGATTATAAAAATTAATTTTTTTTGAATGATCTAGGCTAAGATAATTATATTTATTATTTAATTTTTTTCAAAATATAAAAATACATAGTAATATTATTTTAATTATTTTAAATATATTAAATTGATTATTTCATTTATGTAATATTTTATTTAGTACAAAATAATAGTCATATTAATATAAAAATCAAAATCAATATTTAAAATGTAATTTTGTGCAATAAAAAGATATTATTATGTCATGTCAAATCTATTATATGAAAGTGTTGAATTTAGATATACTTATTTCAATTTCTACAACTGCAATGCAATGCACCTCTTGAGCACTAATGATTCTTGAATTGTTGCTAATGAGCAAATTTAAACCTAAAATTTAGATAAAACAAGAAGTTGGAAGCATATACAACATACCTTAATGCAGAAACCATTGTGAACTATATAACAAACCAAAACTAAGCAACCTCCAACATATTATTTAGATCCAAATCTACTGTTTTTTAAATTCCTTCAACTCACACCTTCAAAATGGCAACTCTACTCTTTGATAAGATCAAAATCTTCTCATCCTTGATAAATGTTATATCAAAGCTTTGGTCGCATAGATTCAATCCAAAAAAAAAAAAAAAAAAAAAGAAAGAAAGACAGGGGACGGAGGATGGGGGTTGGAATGGAGATGGGGAGGTTGGGAAGGGGCTGAGAACAGAGCCAGGAATATATTGGGTGGCATATTAGAATGCAGCAGCCATGTGGCAGAGTGAATGCCACGGCCCTCTCTCTCCCCTCATGTGGATGTGCCCTTCTCCACATACTTGATTTTATAACTAATTTTATACCTCAGGCAATCAATGATTTTTGTGGACAGACAATCGGACATACACTTTTTCTTATATAAGTAGAGAAGAAAATAAATTGTAGGTGATTGAGAGCCATTTGATCATTAATTAATGTAATAAAAAATTCAACAAATTTTTATCATTAATTAAAATATTGATGTCAACTTTGGATCTTCAACTTACAAAGTTTCAAGTGATTTCAATCATTTATCAAGGTAATGGATTTTATTTACCAAATTTTTAGTAGTAATTATTATTATTATTATTATTTTATTTTCAAGGTCATGCTTATTCATGTTGTTAAAATATTTTCAAGTTAGGTAAATTTAGGAGTTGAGTTAAAATTTTAAAATAGCCTTTTTGTAATTATTATGATTGAGATAAAATAAGATTTGTTGTCTTCATACATATATCAAATCCTAACATGATTTTAATGGTTTTATCAGATTTCAAGTGCAAATTGTAGGTGAATTTATACACGCCTAGACAGTATTGCAATATTGAGTAATCTTCAAACAATTCTAGAATACATACAGATGTTGACAAAGTTTAATACAGTTTCAATTTGCTTCTTTATTTGTATCAAGTAATCAGGTCATTTGAAAGGCTTTTAAATATTACCACTATCAAGGAACCAACTTTCATACAACAGGCCATAGATGTATATATATATATATATATATATATATTTAATTAGAATAGTAATTTTTGATTTTCCATACTTAATACACGCATGTACATGTTATTTTTTTTTCAATGTAAAAAATCCGTTTGACAAATTCGCTGGCCTCGTCGCCTTGTCCAGAACTGCGATATGCTTGCTTTGTGGCCCCCCCTCTTCCGTAATGTTTCGCAGTCAATTGTGAGCCTATGACTACTCATGACCCCTGCCTGTCTCCATCACCACGAACTCGCTCTCTTCCTTTGCTTGCTCTCCCTCCGTTCTAGGATACACATATTTTTTTTTTCCTTCTCATTCTTAAGTTTCGGCTGGCGTCGGTTATGATCGGAGCTTGTTCTTGTATTCAAGGCTCCCTTGGTTCTGGTGCGTTGAATTATTTGTTTGTAAGCGATTTGGAGCAATGATCGGGGAGTTGAGGGGATATGAAGGTTGATGAGTTGTTGAGGTGGTGAACTTTTTGCCAGGTTAAGATTTAGTGAGTATTGGTGAGGAAAGGTAGGAATCCGAGGGGTTGGTTGTTTGAAGTGGTGCTTTTTTCAAGAAATTGAAGTGTGGTGAGTATGAGCTGGATTGAGGTCGGCGAAGAGCTGGTGAGGGATCGTCGTGGTGTGAGGATTTAGCTACAACCGAATTTTAGATCGTTGGATGCTCATAGGTATTGTTATTGCTTTGTTCAGAGAATGTTTGTGGTTTTTGTGCCTGGTTGTCAGTCAAGGTTAGCTTACCGGTTTAGTTATTCTGTTTTTAACGTAATCCTTGCTTCTAGAGTGCAGTTTAGAGGTTTCAATATAGGCGTTTCTGTTCCGTCTTGGTGCCTTCAGTTTCTTAAAATGCGCTCTGCTTTTCTGACATTGTTGTATTGCTACTCTGTTGTGGGGCATATAGTCGGCTTGTACGCGGATAATTTTTAAAAATGAACTTTCAAAGATTAATTTCACGGAAAGGTCCGAACAATGCAGTGGAGTGTGGATGCAGCGTTTAATTGGGAAATAATACTCATTTTGTCATTTTGCTTCTTTCAAAACACGTCGCATGGCTTGTTTTGTGAATGAAACATTTCGAGACGCAGTTTCGGGTTTTTTGCAGTGTTTTTGCTTCGGATTTTTGTGCTTGTGTTTTGTGCATGATTGTTGACCCTGAACGAACACAATAAACGATTGGCATTTGAGTTGTTGGACTTTTCCACCTGTATTCACTTGAATTCCGCCCCATGACGATTAATTGAGAGTAGGTGTTATGTCATTGCTCACATGGAGCTTTGCATGATTCTTAGCGATTAAATATGGGCGATTCATTGCATACTCTCAGATTTGGTCATTTCCTCTGCTATGTTTGTAGATGCCCACCCTTTATCAGTGGTTTGGTGCATTTTTTAGTCGTGGACATCTGACTGTGAGTAGATTAGGTATTCGGTGTTGATACTGCACGGGACGTTTCGTAGGAAAATATAACTGTGGTGTTTCAATGGACGCATAGAATCAGTGGGATTGTTAATGGACGGTACATGTACTGTAAAATTCAACACCTAGTGTCGTGTTCGACGATTTTATTGGATTCGTTGTTGCTGGGATTTTTCATCAGATTTAGGATTGTTAGTGTACTAGCAATGGCTGTGACAAGGATCTTGTATGCCGCTCATTGCTTTTTTGAGTCAGCTAGGTCATATGAAGATGAATGATTAGATGGAAAATTTTAATGTGTCTCTCGTGCGCCCAAGGCATTATCTTTTATGACGTAGATTTCCGTCGTGAATGGGAATTCTCTGACCAGTTAGACTTTGATTAATTTCTTTTTCATCTTGATGAGGTCGAAGGTGTTCAGTGCGTTTGTTGACCCCAAACCAGAACGATGAGCCCTCTTTTGTCTATGAAGCTTGGCTTTCTAGAATTGACCAGTGACCTGAGACGAAGAATGGTGTATGCAGGAGCATCACATGTTCATCACAGCTACAATAGAGACTGTTGTTCGTACAGAAGTGGTTTGCGATGAGTTTCGATTATGAATGAAACGTAGTCGGAAATTTTAAAATTTGTTCATTATGTGCTTAACCGGAAGCACTAGGAAATAAGTGTATTTAATTTTTTAACTGAAAGTTGATCTCTTTCAAAGGATAAACCAGTATTAATTTAGCAGTTCGAAAGTGCTTGATATTTTCAAGAGACTTGTTGTATTGCGAATCTGAAAGTTGTTTCCTCGGGTTGCAGACTATAATCTTGGGTTTCCGACGGTTTCGGAAGTTGAGATGGTTTTCTTTTCTTGGCTGAGATAGGTGTTCCACTCTCCTCCGTTCATTCGGCTTATTAAAAACCAGTTTGGTGTATATTCTCGGCGTCTATAATGACGCTGTCCGGGGAACGTGACGTAGGAGTCAGTTCCTATGTTCCTCCAGGCACATCTTCTACGGCTTCAAAACCATTGCCTAACAGCCCACAGGTCCCTCTTCAGACCACATTTCCGGCTCAAGTATCTTCAAAAGCTCTGCCGAATTTGGCCGCGGACGCTGGTTCTGGCAACAATAATGAGAGTTCTGGGATCATATCAGCACTTCTATCCAAAGATAAAAACGAAAGTGCACTTTCCCAAGTTGATTTATCGGACATTGCAATTGAAACATGGCCTACTCGTGGCAGGCCCAAAGAAAATGTCCTTAATGAAGTTCCACATGTGAATGAAATTCTAAATCCTACAGGCACCAGGTTGTTTGTTTTATCCTCCCTTTTGAGAAGTTTTTAGATTTGGTGAAGTCAAGATTGTGTGATCATTCTTAATCAGGATTTTTATTTTTATTTTTATTTTTATCTTTTTGTTTTTTCTTTTCTTTTCCTGTATAAGGTTCTTGAGATGTAGCATTTTTTTAATGGTACAGTGCAGAATTTGGCATTGCCATCATACCACATCTTTGTCTTTCACTGATCACACGTCTTGTAATATATTTGTTTAGGTCCAAGGATGATCTTTTTAACGATTCAGATGGCAACATGGCATACGGAAATGGTGGTGATAAAGGAGATTCAGAGGGCGGGAAAATATCGCTTCTTGGTCCGAAGTCGAAGGACTCAACAAAGGTCTTTGCAACTCACAGTGATTCTCATTTACCGGGTCCCATAGGCGATACTCAACACCATCGGGATCCTCAGCCTTTTCCATTACATGGTCCGCAATATGATCTGCAGGTATTACATCTCGTTTTTTCGCTTTGGCTTGTTGGAGGGGAGCTCCTATATTTCGATCACCATCATTTCTTTTGTGGATATATTTTACTAATTGAGTCCAGGTTTTCATATTGTAAACGCTGGAATGTTCTTTCGAGGTTCCTGTTAATCTGCCGATGAAATACTTATAGTATTATAATATTCAGATGAAAAGTTTACTTTTGTTTTAAATAGCCAGGAAGTGAACAAAAGACACCAATCGAAGCAGGGAGGCCCCTACAGGCCACACAATCTCTTCCTGTCTGGATGCCCTCTACTGTTACTAGTACGGATGCCCCTGAAAGCATAGCAGAAGAGGTTGAAGCCCTTGTAACTCCCTTTCCAACACCACAAGCAATTGAGGAGGTTGACCAAAGCAGTCTCGGTGGAACTCCAGCAAAAGGTGACGCGTTCTATTTTGTATCGCTATGCTATTTATCAATGCAAATAAAATCAAATTTTTGTTTTGTTTTGGAGCTCCTGGGCCTGTATATTTTTCATCAGGGCATACAGATTTGAAACTGTGAATCTTTTTCGATCTATGTGGAGTTAGACTTTATATGTATTTGCACCTTACTTTAGCATGCACTTCAAAAAATGAGTTTCAGGACGGTTTTTTCGTGTCTTATTGTACCTCTTTTGAAATTTTAACTTTCTTAATTATTCAACTAAGCAGGAACTTGATGCAAATGATAAACCAAATTCCAAACGTAATACTTGAAGCTCAGTGTAGCACGCATTAGATCCACTACTGTCTAACAGAATATAATAACTTGTAAGATCTGGAGATTTAGGTAAATTTTAATTTTTGCATTGTGGTGTTCAGACCAAATGCCCAGGACAACGTCGATGCCAGAAGCAGACTTTCAAATGTCAGAGAGAATTCGCCAAGACCATCTGACGCAGTCCAACATACTGAAAAGAAGAATTAACAAGAATCGTGATAATGCGAATGTTCGAGTAGCTGCAAGGTCCAAGTTGTTAGACCGGAAAAAGGTTTCGTAACGCTCTTACTCTTCTTTCTCCCAAAGCACGATTAATTTGAACAAGGTGATGTTAGTTCGAAGTAGTTTGTATTCCATCCATCTAAAAATGGCTTGATTGTTAACTGTTCCAGAAAAAGCTTTTGAGACAATTTGCTATGATCCAAACGGATGGAGGCGTGGAATTTGACCTCCGTCAAAGTGGCCAACTGGCCCGGGATCTCTTTGGAGACCATGTCATGGATGAAGAGGAAAGTGATCATGGAATTCCTGCAGCTAACCGAATTGAGGAGGGAAACGAAGAGAATGATCAAAGTCCAGTTCCTCCTTTGAAAATAGTCATGCTCATTGTTGGCACACGTGGGGATGTTCAGCCATTTGTTGCTATCGGCAAACAGTTACAGGTTATTGAATTTGGTCATTTCCAGAGTTAATATCATTTTATAAGAAATTTTTAATGGTTTATTTTGTTGCAATGAATTTTAAATTCTATTGGCAATGAGGTGTGCTTGTGGCACTTGGATGGAGTTTTTACAAGTTAAGTTTCTCTAATAAAAAATATCCCAATACGCTGCAGGAGTATGGTCACCGAGTACGATTAGCAACTCATACCAACTTTCGAGATTTTGTGAAGAAAGAGGGATTAGAATTCTATCCCCTAGGAGGAGATCCGAAGGTTCTTGCTGAATGTAGGTCGCTTAATATTTCATTTTCTTAATTGAAATATGATTTTTTTGGGTTTTTTTTTGGTCTGGGAGTGAATTTTGATATGTTCATTTTTTTGTGCTATTATGTGAGAAATAGTAGGGTGTACATTTAGGACTTAACTCTGCTAAAGAATTGTAATTGAATCAAACCTTCCTGTCATCACTTTTTCATGCTGAAATTTCAGACAGACGAGCGCAAGTCTCTGTCGTTATGTATGTCTTTGGAATGCCTCAGCATTTTTTCTTTGACTGAACAATGTTGACATATGACATGGTGTTGGCAGATATGGTGAAAAACAAAGGCTTCTTGCCTTCTGGACCCTCTGAAGTTTCTGTGCAGCGAAAACAGATCAAATCTATTGTTTATTCTCTGCTGGATGCTTGCATTAAGCCGGACAAGGAATCTGGAGTTCCTTTTCGTCCTCATGCTATCATTGCCAACCCTCCTGCATATGGTACATCTGTTTTTTTTCTTTTGAGGAACTAGAATTAATTTCCACATAAATTTCTCTTGATGAGGGGTGTTGCGATGGGAATTGCTAAAGATTGATATGATTGCTCAATTTGACTGAGTGCTCAGTGGTCAGTACTTAAAGACCCAAACCTCCTTCATAGCTTACCTATTATGTAGTTTGTGTAAGCTGGATCAAGTGCTAGATGATATCTCACGTGAAAGCTGGACCATACAGGGCATGTCCATGTTGCAGAATATCTCCAAATTCCACTGCACATATTCTTCACTATGCCATGGACGTAAGTAGTTGTATCTCCTTTGTTTAGTGCTCAAATTTTGTAGTTACACTTTGTCACCTTGATCATGCGCATTGGATATGTGTGCCTGATTTTGATTTATGTTTAAATTGTTTTCCTTACACAGGTCAACCCGTGAATTTCCTCATCCTCTATCTCGAATTAAACAACCTGCTGGGAATCGGGTTAGTCATGCGCGTGGCCTTGCTAAGTGGAATAACATTCTTATTTCGATTTTGTGGACATTGGGGCTGCATAATTGTGAATGCAGTTATAGTCATGTTCTTGGCTTTTTTCAATGTGTTGTCGGGTTGTCGAGAGGGGCACGGACATGAATTGATCTATTGCTGTTATTGTGATATATTTCAGATGTCATACCAAGTGGTGGACTCGCTGATCTGGCTGGGCATTCGAGGAATAATCAACAGCTTCCGTAAGAAACAATTGAAGCTACGACCCATCACCTACTTGAGTGGTTCTCAGGGCTCCATCGCCGACTTGCCTACAGGATATATTTGGAGTCCTCATCTTGTTCCTAAACCGAAAGGTTCGAACTATTCACCTCCTCACCTGATACGTTCAAATGTTTTTGACAATTGTTACGCCGATATGTTGATTGCAAATTGTGCACATCAGATAATCCGATTATTCTTGCGTCTGATTTTATTAGTTTGTGACAATTGAGTGCTGAAATTATCAGGATTCTTACGAGGACGTCTCACTTTTACAGATTGGGGGCCTCTTGTCGATGTTGTGGGATTTTGTTTTTTGAATCTTGCTCAAAACTACAAGCCCCCTGATGATTTGGTGAAGTGGTTGGATGCTGGTCCACCTCCCATTTACATAGGATTCGGGAGTCTGGTAAGTTCATTGCAATGTATATAATTTATAATTTACGAATATTTTGTTATGAAATGTCGTATCATTGGTATAAATTATGATTCTTTTTGCCCCTACCATGTATGTAATTTTCTACTGGTCTGTGTTGCTTTTGTCAAATCGTTGTGAAATTTGTTTTCAATTAAGAACAGTTAGGGTCTTTTTAAGGTAGTTCCATGATAGTATTATCAGAGTGGATGTTTCATCATGTTGGTGCTCAATAGCCTGTGGCAGATCCCGAAGGCATGACGAAGATAATTATTGAAGCGCTGGAGAAGACTGCACAACGAGGTATCATTGGCAGAGGTTGGGGTGGAATTGGCAACTGTGAGTATTCTCATTTCCTTGATGTCGCACGTTCCCACGTATAAAATGCATTTCGAAGAGAAGTATATATATATATATATATATATATATATATATATATATATATATATATATATATATTCTCATTTTATCTCAGCGTTAAGGTGTTAGCTCACCTTAGCGGTAGGTATATTTACAGTGAGATGGCGATCCACAATCTGCTGCACTTCTATTACTATTCCATTGATGCATGTGTAATTTGCGGATGCAGTGCCCGAGGTACCAGACAATGTTTACCTTCTATCAGACTGTCCTCATGACTGGTTATTCCCTCGATGTGCTGCAGTTGTACGTGTTTAAACTCTTTTCCATATTTTAATTGTAATTTTATCTTTTTAAAGACAAAAGAATTTCGAGTAAAAGTGCAGCTGTTTTAATTTTGATTTGTAATCACCTGGTTATTGTAAATTTTAAAAGTAATTTTCAGAGTGATATTTTTGGACTTTTTTCCTAGGTTCATCATGGAGGTGCGGGGACGACTGCTGCTGGTCTTCGGGCTGCGGTAATAAATTCTATTTACTTGACTTGTTTTCTGTCTTGCTTTCGCAATAGTGTGCCTTGATTATTAATCCACTTCCTTGGACTGATTTTGATTGAGGTATAATAAAATCCAGGAATTCCACTCTTGTCAAGTTTTGAATTAAGGTGCATTATTTGCTTGTAATCTTTCAGTGTCCCACGACAATTGTTCCGTTTTTTGGGGATCAACCATTTTGGGGCGAACGTGTTCAACAAAAGGGCGTAGGACCCGCTCATATTCCCGTCAAGCATTTCGATTTAGAGAAGCTTGTCAGTGCCATCGAGTTCATGCTTGATCCTACTGTAAGTACTATTTCTTCTATGTAGGATTGACTGATGCTATATGTGGCCTGCCGTGTATTGCTTTCAACTGTCAGATCATGCTAGGCATTACCATTAGAAAATCTGTCAATGTGTTGGACATATTTTTAAATTTCATTTTTCTTCTGGTTTTCTTGAAACTTAAAAAAAGCATATTCCTGTACATTTTATAATCTTCAGGTTAAGCAAGCAGCCTTAACTTTGGCTAATAGCATGAAAGGTGAGGATGGAATCAAGGGGGCGGTAAATGTTTTTCATAAGCATATTCACAAGCATGTGCCAAATATTTTGAAATTGACGCCTTTGGAAGATCTCCACCGACATCATGGGATATTTTTCAGGATAAAGAGGAAGTGCAAATCCATGATGCACCGCTCTTCACATAACTCGTCTTAGTGCATTTTGAAGTTTTCAGCTTCCACTTAGACATGCAACACCAATTTTTGTTGTAAAAAATGTTGAACAACTTTTGAGCTGTATATTATGAATTATTTTCGAAGTCATTCTTGTTACCCTTGCAAATTGTACCGATTTTTGAGTTGTAGATTCGTAAATGAGAAGTAATCACAAGTTTACCGGACTGCGAAATATTAATCAGTGGAGTTAGTTTTCCAGCTTAGTCCTAGTTCTTTGATCAAAGAATGGTAATGATTACAAGAAGCTAGTTCTCAGATTTTTCAAGGTACTGGAGAAAACTAGGTTTCTTTCCAGTGAAGAACAGCAGATTTCTGTTAGAGCTCAACATCCATGGTTGTGAATCAAAGAATAGTTGACGAGATTCTCAACAGAGCTCATGGTGTGGAAAGCCTCAAAGAAAATAAATTTTTGTATATAATTTGCATGTTCACTTATATTTTTTGTTTGGAAGTAAGTCTATCAATGCTACAACCTTGTGAAAATTACATCAAGATATATTTGCAAAAACTTACAGAAGTCAACAAACTATTATTTCAATAACCAAAAATTAAGTGTAGTAAAGTCATATATTTTTAGATAAATAATACATATATATATATATATATATATATATATATACTAAAGTGGTGTTGAATGAGTTAACAGATTGGACTATCACCCAAATCATTGTTGAATCTAAAATATTGTTGATTGTGCATATATATAAATATATATAGTTATATTTATAAATTAATATAATTTAAATTAAAAATCTATATGTATAAAGATTTTATATTTTTATATTTTTAAATATTATTATACTAAAAATATGTATTATTAATATTTTATTTGAAAAAGTTTTATAAATATCTATATGCTTTTGTAGCAAAAAATATTAATTAATATAAATTGAATAAGAAACTAAAATATATTAAATGAAGATTGAAGTTCAAAAATAGCATTGACATGATTTAAAATGGATTTAAACTAGCATATAATTGTACATATTTATATGGCAAATATAAAACTATATTAAAATTTCTAACAACAAGATTTGGAATTTAAAGATAATAAGCAAGAACAAAGTTTAAATTAGAGTGGTTTTTGGTATACAACCAATGTAATGGGGACTACATTACTATGTAGTAGATTCCAAGTAGCAAAGGAAAATTATATCAAAGAACCAATTCTTTGTTTCTTGTCACAATTTGTTTGTTTGTTTTGTTTTTAATTTTTTATATTTTTATTTTTTTGTAATAGAGATTATATTTCATACAATGATGATCTTTATAAAGAATATCATGCAAGATACATGAGTATCCTTAGCTAGACCTTGGTAGAAATTCTATTATAGTTGCAATTAATCTTAATATTCTTATAGACATAGTAGAAGAAGAAAAGATTTTGGCACCTTACAATATTCACTAAAAGAATTTTTATTCAAATCCAACTTCACAAATTCCAAATGAGTCTATGCCCTCATAATTAACTTGCAACTATGCCAATTTAGTCTTAAGAATTGAATCACAAAAAATAGCTATTAATATAGAATTAGTTTGGAATGAGATTACTAAATCCTTCCAAAACACCATCATTGTTTACTTTGTAGAAGGTAAGTTAGATTATATTGGACTTTGTATTCTAAAAATAGTACTTGAAAATCTTTTGAATGGTTGTAATATACTTGAAAAAATCTTAGATGTAGATATGTATATATATATATATATATATATATGTCTCAAAATGCCTTTTAAAGATGTGATGGATTGTATGTCAATGTAATCATTCTATACATCAATTTTTGGCTTTTGTACCTTTGAAGCATAAGATCATAACTTCAATCTATAAGCTATATAAAATTTAGATGATATTTATGTATATTTTTTCAAGATTCCAACTTAGATTGTGTTGAAAGATTTTTTTAAAAAATTCATATTGATGACACTTGAGATTATAATTTGAAAATATAAAAACTTAAATACCAATTTAAACAACAAGCAAAAAATAAAACTACATCTTTGTATTGCTAATAGCTTGGGATGTGGTTAGGAGCCAAAATTAAAAGTTAAAAACTTGATTATCAATAAGATGAATTTGGTGTTTATTGATTATTTGAAGATGTCTATTTGGTGTTAATTTTTTTTTAACAAATCATCATATTAAGCAATATTTAGCTTTAGCTAATTAAAAAAAATAAGAAATCAAATACAATAGATTTAAGTAGGTCAAAAATCTACAACTATGACAATAGAACTACTAATAAGGATATGAATCTCAAAGAAAGAAAATCTCAATATACTCTTATATCACTGAAAAAGACTAGAAAATTACTTGAAGGTAGAATAGCATTAAATTAGAATGACTATTGTCAAAGACAATAAGACTAGAAAGTCTTGAAACAATACTAAAGACTAGAAAGACATTGACAAGAGTAAAGAAGGCTTTACTCTTACCTCCATATATACTTTAAACTAAAAACTATGTGGTAGTGTCCTTTAGGACTTCTAAAACATGGTGACTTTACAAAATATGTATCTTAAATTACAAGATAAGTTTTCTATATGTGCACGACATAATTACCTTATTTCGTAAGCTAGTAACAAGTGATTAACTTGTTGACCAAGTTTTTAATCTATCAATTAACTATAAATATATGTAAAGTTAAAGCAACATCTATGAAGCTTCTAAAAAGCTTCTATATAAGATATTATGAATTAAATTTATTTTTACTTACTTCTATTTAAACATATAAATAAATATTCTATTTAAACATTATCTTCCCTTCTAGAGATAAGTTCCATGAAGAGTGGTCATCATATCTTGAAGAAATCCAAGATGCAGTGAATTGTATTTGCTATATACTATGATCTTTGTTCTCTTTGAAGATGGTTGATAGGTCTTCTTAACCATCAATAATATCTCATACTAAGGTAGGAAGATTTCCCTGTCATTGGATTGTTGTTGTGGCCTTCATAACTCTCTTCAAATAAAATAATTTAGAATACCATCAAGAGTCATTCCAACCTCTAATAAAATCATCAAACATTGAAAGTCTCTTCTAAGGTCATGATATCAAATATGTTGTATTTTACCATCTATTCAAGGAAAGTTATGTTATTCTTGAAAATCATCATCTTTATTATGTCATCTTGAAGGTTGTAAAAATTATAATATGTTTTCTAATAAGTTAGGAAATAATAGTTCTTGAATTGAATCTATTAGATGTTGATTTTCTAACTCTTTAGTGTTACAAATGTACAAAAGTACCAAATAAGAGTAGAAGATAAAATGCTATCTTTTTTAGATTTTTTTTTTTTCTAGCAAAGATTTGCTATTATTTATCTTGATTTTAATGGATATTATCAATAAAAAATTTTAACTTTCTTTTCTACACTTGCAAGATTCTTTGTTGGATTATATGTACATTCATCAATATCATATCCGCGCCAATAAACAAGATGTTCTAATCTTTTTTGGTACTGCCTTAAATCTTTCACTTCTTCCACCTTGAATTTTAGATTATTATTTTTTCCATAAGAAGACGTAGCATTTGTCTTCTTTCTAAGATATTTATTGTCTTATATGGCTTAAGAAGAGATACATGAAATATGGGATAGTGTTAGGGACATAGTCCTTAGAACCTTCTAGAGACAAGTTTCTAGAACCTTCTAGAAGTAAGTTTCTGGAACCTTCTAGAAGCTTCTTAGTTGGTAGAAGATGTTAGGAACATAGTCTTTAGAACCTTCTAGAGATAAGTTTCTAGAACCTTCTAGAAACAAGTCTTTGGAACCTTCTAGAAGCTTCTTAGTTAGTAGAAGTTGCTTGAGAAGCTTCTTAAATAGGAATATATATTGGAATCGAGGTTGAAGAGTTCTTCAATCTCGACAACACATCTCTTGGAGCTCTAGCTCACCTCTCTGGTATTGTTCTCATCTGATTAATCTAGTTCTTGTCAGTTCTTCTTGAACTTCTTGTTAGATCTCGAGTCTGTATTTCTGTGTCCATGACAGTTTGTCGAGACTTCACTCACCTCAGATATCAGAGCTAGTTTCTTCTTTGTTAGAATGTAGATTAGTCCTCTACTTGGAAGTATACTAGCATTTTAGAGGTTGCGGATTACCCTCCTCTAAACTGATACTTCTTTTGTTACAATATTCAAGTCTTATTCTTCTTGGAGAGAGTGGATTACCCCTTTTCTTGAAGCTCTTAAGGCATTTTAGAGGTTGCAGAGTACCTTCCTCTAAATCAATATTGTCTTCTTGTAGAGTCATTTCTGTCCTTCTCTTAGAATGGCCGGAGGCTAAGACATTAGTATGATGAAAAGTTTGGAGTCCAAGTTGGATGCTATCATGAATGCCCTCGCTACGTTATCGCAAAAAATTGCAGAGATTGAAGGAGTCGTGGTAAGGCTTCATAATGATGGAGCATCTGGGATGGTATAATCTAGGTTGCACCAGCCTCAAATTTCTGCACTTGGAGAAGCAACTTTGCCTCAAGTTTGATAAGCACCATTGGTTCTACAACATAAGGAGCCCCGAGTTAGCCTTCCGGATAAGTTTGATGGTAAGCGTTCCAAGTTTCGAGGATTCGTCAACCAAATCAGGTTGATAATAGTTTTACAGCCCGAACACTATCCAACGGAGGAGTCACGTGTTGGGCTTCTTGAAACCTTACTTACAGGGCAAGCTCTATGATGGTTTGCTCCTTTGTTTGAGAAACGATTGTCCATACTAAACAACTTTAAAACCTTTTTGGAGGTATTTGCGGAAGCATTTGGTGAACAGGACAAGGTTCGATGGGCTACAACAAAGATCCAATCACTACGACAAGGGATGTGCTCTACATCAGTCTATGCATCGGACTTTAGGCAATTAGCATGCAACATCAATTGGGACGAAGAAGCGTTGATGAGTCAATTCTATTGGAATTTAAAGGATGATGTGAAGGATTAACTGTTAACTCTTCTTGATCCACAAACGCTCAACAAAGCTATTAGCCAAGCTGTGAAGTGCGATAACTGCCTATTCTAACGCTGCCAAGACCAACGTTCAAGACAACATACAATTTGCCACGCCCCAATTATGTCGGCAAGCATCATGAATTCACATTCAGAGGT